GATTAAGTGCATAAAAACAATATTTACAACAATTATCATGCGCTAAACGGAAAATAAATGAGATATTTGAAGAAAAAAAAACATGTTTAAATAATAATTGAAAGATAACTTCTATACATAACTGGAAAAAGTGGGGAGGGGTGGGCTAAACGGCCCCTTCGTCAATATATTAATAATTCTCTTTAACATCATTTGTTTTTATATGTCATATTTATTTTTCAGTCAGCGCAGTACTATAATTATTGCGCTCTTACAGGAGAATTAGGTCACACGCCACCGTTTTTTTTTTTTTACCTCTGCGCGCCCCTGGATGATATGCTCAAGTACGCACCACTTGAACATAGACAGGTGCATTGCTAGGGAAAACATCCTTCACGGTCAACCAGCAGACATGAAGGCGGAGCTTTATGTTGTAAGTTATGTGCGCCATATAAAGTGTCTGGGCTCTCCTTGCAGTACCGGACGAGGGCTGGACGGCTTAGTTCAGTTTAGTGGGAGTTCTCTCCCTTGGCCGCACTGGAAACAGTGAGCGGAAAAGTCATGAATCAAAGAAGACAGTGAGGTCGATATCAGGGCTGCCAATGCTTGGTTGTGTCCCCAAGATCTGGGTGTTTTTTTTTTGACGTTGAGGGGAAATCTGTTTTTTTTTTTTTGCCGATCTGTATGCTTTAATGACCGATAAATTCGCGTGGTTAGGGGTATGGTTAGGGTTAGCGGTAGGATTAGGGTTAGGGGTAGGGTTAGGGGTAACGATAGGGTTACGGTTAGGGGTAAGGTTAGGGGTAGAGTTAGAGTTAGGGATAGGGTTAGGGTTAGGGTTGGGGTTAGGGTTAGGTTTAGCGTTAGATGTGACAGTTTTGACGCAGGAGTTCGCTATAATCGCGCACAGTCACATACACACCCAAACAGTCGACGGACTGTGGGTGCTACGGACAATTCGCCACCGACTGGGCACCAGCCGCGCGCTATTGCCGTCATATTTGGCAGACTGTCAGTGGCGCCACTCCAACAAGCATCAGACTGTCGGCCAGTATTTGGAACTCCTACGTCAAAATTCTCACATCTAACCCTAACCCTAACCCCTAACCCTACCCCTAACTCTATCCCTAACCCTACCCCTAACCCTAACCCCTAACCCGTAACCCCTAACCCCTAACTCTACCCCTAACCCTAACCCTAAACCAAACCAAAACCCTACGCAACCCTTCACGCAACCGTATGATGACTACGCAACCCTTCACCCAACCGTATGATGACTACGCAACCCTACACGCAAGCGTAGGCAACCCTACACGCAACCGTATGATGATAGGTAAGTATGTCATTTGTTTCGTGACTTTTCCGCTCACTGTTTCCAGTGCGGCCAAGGGAGAGAACTCCCACTAAACCAAACTACGCCGTCCAGCCCGCGTCCAGCCCTCGTCCGGAACTGCAAGGAGAGCCAGTGTCTGAGAACTGCACTTACAAAAAAAAAAATATACCAAGAAACCATGAGTTGTAAACCCCCTTGGCTATGGATATCGCAACCCTTCGGTCTTGATTCCATGATAGATACCGTAAATCTGGGAGAAGAAGTCTTTTCTGCCTACACCCCGGGCGTGACAAGGAGTTCGTCACCCGGTCGCCACGCAGCCTGGTTTAACCAACTGAGCTAGCGAGCCGGACATGAGCATTGCACATCACCAAGAGCCATAAAAAGGACTGCAATGCTGATGCGATAAAAGGAGACAGACTCAAATATTGTCCAGACCGGCGACGAAGTCGTCTACAGGCAAACCAATAGACGACCTGGTCGCCGATGACTGACCTGAAAAATGACTCTTTACTTTTTAAAAACATCCTTATGCTTAAACATAACATGAAAATGAAACAGTACTAGTAAATAAAAACGATGCAAACCTCAGCGCCAATATATTTGATTCTGCTAACTGCACGCATTGTGTCGGTCTCTCTGGCTCCTTTGGCCTGGAGAATGATAACAACTCGTTTTTTGGCATCATGTCTTACACTCCCGTCCCCCAGTTTATCCAGGACTTTTCTGAGCAGTTCACTAATGTCTGGTCCGTCACTGGTTTGTAATCCAGCTATGAAGTCTTCTTTTGTGATATACTGAAAGAGAAAATGTTGAAATATGAGAACATCGAATAATTCATAATACTAATGTGTTACAAAAAAAAAAAAAAAAAAACGGAGAAAAGATCTAAGGAGTGAAGTTATAAAGAAGGGGAAAGCTTCATGTAATAGCGAAGGATAGAATGACTTGGCGTAAGTTGCTCCATGAGGGTTAGAAGGCAGAAGAAGAAGAAGATCATTAATCATGTTTGTTGCATGTCGCACAGATCAGAACAAAAAGCAGGACTCAGTATGAGGGTGCATTGTGAAGCAGCCAGGCGTGAACATTTCACGAAGTGCACAAGACTCCTGAACGGGCACAATAAGTCGTTTAACACTTGTAGAGCTATTGAGGAGGAGATGAGAGCACGCATGGATCTGCCCTGAGTGATGTGATGATAGTTTTCCCTAATCACTAATTAGAAGTGTGTGTGTGTTCTATTCGTCGGCGTCTGAGGCTTAGGCGTTACGAACGCGCTTTGTAATGCCGGGGTGTCGGGTTCGATTCCAGCTGCGGGCCTTGCGCCTTACGTTGGTTTCGACAGTGGTATCGAGAAGCCGACCACTCATAAAGCAATGGCAAACTACTGGACGTAAACTTGCATAGGAAAACCACAACAGCCCCAAAAATGCTGTAGTTGGTTCTGCAACGTCCTGTAAAGGATACTTAACTAACTTAGTATTCTATTCTTCAGCCTCTTCTTAGATTTATATAAAACAGGACGACCATTGGTTGGGTAGGCGAGTGTTTTGTTGAAAAAGAAAAATCCTCACGTTCAACCAGCCTCCCAAAAGGGGGAGCTTTAGGTTATAATTATGACTAGGCTATGTGCGTCATATGAAATTGCCTAGCATTGCATTTCACCAAGAGCTCTGCAAAAGGACTCATGCAGTGTCGATGCAATCAAAGGCGACTGATCCAAATACTGTCCCGACGGGCTACTAAGTCGTCTACCGGTGAGCTAATGAGCGACGTTGTCGCAGATGGAAAAACAACTGGTGGGTACCATCGGAATGGTCTGGGCAGACTTACACGACTTTGACCGTCGCTGGAAAAACCAGACATTTAATAATCCCAATCTGAAGCAATAATATTAGTATATGAAAACATATAGTTTCTAAAATAATGGAAATGAAGACGATAGTAAATGACAGAATAGTTTCCTTTATAATAGGCATACACCGGAAAAAGAAATGTATGCATGCGAGATAATTTTTTCCCCCTGTATTTCCCATAATATATAGGACAATATTATTTTCATTGTACCAGGAAATGATCCGGGATGTCAAGGCGGCCAGCGATTATGAAAATCACTCATCGAGTCCTGATTAGCATTTCAAAATATTAGGCTGGCACAATATATCCTCACACCTAAGGCATGGAAGCGAATCAATTTCTTACCCGAAAAAATAATTACAAGACTGCAAGGTGGTACCATGTACTTAACAGTCTCTAATCAATTTTGTTCCCAGTACTTGCTTGAATAAAGTGAAGGGACCCTTTTTCACGCCTTCAGGCATACTGGGTATAGAGGGCTAGACCTATATTTTATAGACCAATCGGCTCTTGGTGGGTCATGTGGTCAGTATCACACCAGCCGCCTTTACTTTTCAGGGCTTTACCTGGTTCCCACTCAAGGCTAGTTAGACCGGGGAGCTAAGGTCTTTTTTTTTTTTTTTAAAGTCCGGCCCAGTTGCTGAACCCACGACCTTTTAAATTCGCAGGCTCGCGTCAACACCACGGTGACTCCCACTTGCTTGGAAACTCATGGCCATCTGCAGTGAAAGTATCTTGATATGATGTATAAACTAGAACCTGTGCTGTTATATTCACGTGGGACCCGGGCAAAAAACAGACCACCTTAAAAAATTCATTCCCAGCTGATATGCAGTTTTTGAGAAAAAATGAAAAGAATATAATTTAGTGATCGAAAAACAAACGAAACTGCCCTCCTCTCAACAGAAGATCTCCGTTTGGGTTCCGGGGCCCTGTTATAGGGAAAACAAGAATAGACCCACTGCCTACCCAAAAAGCATGACTTAAGAGTAGACTAATTGGGAGCTTCCTTCAAAGTCGGAGTGCATCTGCCTGAGAGGCAATGAACCAGCAGTCTGTATACAAATGAGACAGATCTTTAAAACGGATGCACACGCAACACTCAGGTTCTGGAACAGGACTGCAGTCCAGAAGTGGACAAACAAACAAAACTTTCCGCCAGGGTTTATAGCTGGTGAACGCGAAGAAGAAGAAGAAGAAGAAGAAGAAGAAGAAGAAGAAGAAGAAGAAGAAGAAGAAGAAGAAGAAGAAGAAGAAGAAGAAGAAGAAGAAGAAGAAGAAGAAGAAGAAGAAGAAGAAGAAGAAGAAGAAGAAGAAGAATGCCGTAAACCTATAAGATCAATTAGATGTAGACTTACGGCGTTTTTTGACGCGTAAAAAGGTAAAATCGGGAGATTGGAACCAGCGTCACTGCACACGGTTATAAACTATAAGTGCTCTGACACCAGTACGGACAGCTGCTAACAACTGTCCGCCTGTGTCGCCATCCACACGCAACTCCTAGCTACAGAGACGCTCCTCCATTTACCCCAGAGAGCTTTAACTCTGGTAGTAGTTACATAGAGGCTGGGTGAACCTCGGTACTGCCCGGTTTCGAACACCGAACGTGGGCTGCAGCAAGTAGCAGCTGGATTTGAAAGTGAGTCTCCTATCGACTGCGCTAACGCGGCTTCAAAAAAATGTTGATGTAGGACGTGTGATGAGAAGGAATAGACTCGAGAACTGGGTTTAGCTCTATGGTTGAGACATGACAAGAACACTGACATGATTCGGGATGAGATGAGATGGCGAAACATGACAGCCTAATCTTGTGTCGATAAAAACGACTTACTTGTCCAAACTCGATGTCCTCTCTGAGGCAGCTCTTGGTAATAACACTGGCCCTCATATTCCCAGAGTTCATACTGAAGTTATTGACTACAGAGCCAATAAAAATTTTGATGTTCTGTGAATCTGTGCGTCCAAGAGCGGCTTCGTTAAAGACAAAGAAGGTATCAGCCTTGACATTTCTTCCACATGCTGTTAAAAAAAACACACACACAACTTTATAGAATACCTAGAAACAACAATCACTCAGACAAACATGAATGAATAAATGAGGTTTAACCCCCACCAGCACATCCACCAAGCGATAAACACCCAGTAACACAAAGTGCCACCATGCGGATGAGGATCACGGGGGGAGGGGGAGTGGTCACAGGAATTCCATTTTTACTGTTGTGTTATATTAGGGCTTCCGTCTGCAGCCGGGGTAGATGGAATTCTGGCAAAATGCATATAGTGTGACACTATACTCGTAGCCAACATGTTCAACAGCACCGGTTTACGCCATCGTTCGTGAAAAAAGGGAACAATCACTATAGTAATAATAATAATAATAATAACAGTATGTCACACTGACGTGGTGCAAGACATAGTCCCAAATATCAGCATGACAACATAGTGAACCTTCTTTCTTTTCGTTCTCTCGGCTAGTGGTATTTCAGAGGTACCACAGGTCTCTGTGAAATCCAAATTGGCAAACACGGAGTGGGGTGGGGGAATTAAACCCTATATTATACGATTTATATTTTTCGAGGGAGTCTTAAGTGACATAATGCTTAGTGCGTAATATATATATATATATATATATATATATATATATATATATATATATATATATATATATATATATATATATATATATATATATATATAATATTAGTTAGAAGAAGAAGTTCTGGTTGACAAATAAATAAAGAATATACCCGAAATAATATGAAATGTATCAACAAATACTTAAAAGAGAGACTTTATACTTGGGAAGATCGGGTGGGGGACCTAAACACATAACTCATTTTCTGGGGGAACTCAGTCCCTTCCAGCTTTACAATTTTTCAAAGGGGCTGGGGGGGGGGGGGGGGGTCCGTTCTACTCCCATGTTCCGGCTCTCTTGGAGAGCTGTGGTGCGACACACATCCTCCACCGATTTAATTCAGTTTGGGCCTCACTGAGATGCAAACTGGCCAAATGGATGTGAGTATTAAGAATGGCTCAGCAAAGGAAGCTGTGTGGATTAAAAGCAGAGGAATCCACACTGAAGGGACCAAAGGTGATATAAAAACATAAATAATACTAAGTGCACTTTTTATCAGAAAACACTCTTGTACGCCGACACAGAGTACATTTTCATCATTATAATCTATAGTCCGTTCCAAAAGTCTATAAAAATGTGTAACTTAATAACCGTTTGGTGTAATATGATGAAATTTGGCAAGAGACCTGTTATTAATCATAGCCTTACAGTAAAGTAATCATACAGTAAACAAACTCTATTTTTTGGGCCTTATTTTTTGGTATGTGTGTACACACACACACACACACACACACACACACACACACACACACACACACACACACACAGTCAAGGCATATATTTTACCATGTTTACAGTAAATGATTTACTGCGAACTTGGCCAAACTTTATATATTTTTTGATAATACGCGCTAAAAAATAAGGGGCGCTTATTTTGATTGGTTAAATGGATACGTCATGTACTGTCCGTCATAATCTCATTTGCATAATTGTAACTCAGTTCATAGGCTTTTCTCTCTCGCGTGGCCAATATCCTGTATTAACCTCCCGTGAGTTAAATGAATACAGTAATTCATTGTATGTGGTATAATCTATCAAAATAATCACCACGCATCGTTGCACATCTGAAATGATTTTCAAAAGAGCTTAGTAAAAATAATAATACTAATAATTAATTGATGAATAGTTTAAAAAATTTAATATGCAATGTATAAGCAGCTACTGCTATTTCTCTCCACTGTTAAAGGAAGTGGGAATGGAAAAGGAGGGGGAAGGGACGGTGGATTAGTCTCCTTACAAATTCATTTACCTGAAAAAAAAAAGGGGGGGGGGGGGGGTCTAATAGCCTCCAGATTCCAGGCGTCTTTCCCCCCAACTACGAGGCGGAGGAAATCTCACGTTACACAACGCTTTAAATTCCGCACGTTAGGTTCTGGTTGTTCGTCCACCTCTAATATTTTAGTCTTGTTCCAGAATCTGAGTGTTGCATGCACAACCGTTTTATACATTTGGCTTATTTGTATGGAGGTTGCTGGTTCATCGCTTTTAAGGCAGATGCACTCCGACTTCGAATGATGCTCACAATTTGTCGACTCTTACGACATGTGTATTGCGAGAGGCAGTGGGTCTATTCCTGTTTCGTTTAGGTTTGGTTTATTGAAAGAAACTCAGTCACAAAGAAAACCGATTGCCCACATCTAAAAGAGACAATCTAATTTCTATGATCATGTGATCAAAAGAAAAAATCTTTAGTTCTTTGTGACGGTAGGGAAGTTAGGGGTGTAGGGAGGCTGGGGGAGGGGGGGGGGGGACCGTGAGAACAGATGCTGGACAGTTTGACATCACGGCATGGAAGATCATCTGTGCCAGAGTTGATTAAAAGTACACGAGACCGAATATTGTGGATAGACATGATTACGAACGCCACACGGCATGGACTTTAAGAGATAGATTCTTGTTTTTCCCACAATGGGGCCCCAGAACCCACACGGGAAAACTCAACATTCAAAGCAAATGAAAAATACTTACTTCCGTGCTCTTGGTATATTTGAACTGAAAAATAAAAAGCGTAGAAAGAAAACATTACTTTAATATTGAATATGTTAAAGTCGAGAGGGTCAACTTCATCGGGTTTTATCCCACATAGTTCTGTCCTATCTTAAGAAAGGCTAGTCGCCTGACGACAGCACACTTCACAAACTCCGTATCTACAACAACGACCCCAGAGATCACTATAATACACACGAACGAAAAACATAAAGGCATAGAAATGAAACATGTATTAGATAAAATATTGATCACGGAGACCTCACTATTTGTTTTATATACCAACGACCCCCAGAGATCTCTATAATACACACAAACGAAAAACATAAATGCATAGTGATGAAACATTTATTAGATAAAATATTGATCACGGAGACCTCACTATATGTTTTATATATACACATACACGCACGCGCAGAAAAAACCAGCAATGGACACGGAACAACACTAAGTTTCAACATTATTTTAAATTTAACTTTCCATCCCTTCCAGGATCGCATTTGGAAGTATTCCCCCCCCCCCCACCATATTGATCCAAGGGATATTTTTTAGCAGAAATAAATCTAAGAAAGCCTGTTTAACATAGAACCTACGGTTACGAAGTAACATGCCGCCAAGTGTCGGTTGGTCACCTCCGTAATGTGGATTCTAAACTTGCTTATATTTTAAGAGTGTAAACAATAAAATAAATAACCACTTTCACAACAATAATAACTTGGGCATAGAGGGCTGGACCTATATTTTGTGTAGACCAACTTGCATTTACTTTCCAGGATCATTCCTATTATTCGTTTTAGGCTGATTCCATGTGGGAAACTAAGCAAATAAACAAATCGGTCTAACGCGGCTCACAAACAGGAACTAGCACTCAGTTGAACAACGTAATTTAAGTGTCAGAACCAGTTGTGGCTCGAAGCTACAATTAGTAGGGATGACGTTTTAGAAAACTTGTAATTCTTCAGTTGATAAATGGTATAATCCTGGGAAGTAAAGGCAGCCGGCGTGACGTTGACCACATCACCCACCAATTGCTGATTTTAAAATATAGGTTTAACCATATATGCTTAATACTCCCAAAGGCGTGAAAGTGTTATTTAACTTTACTAAAATAAACAAACATTAAAAAATGTATACATATTAGTTATAAAATCCTTTTAAAATATGTATATGAAATTATTAACAGTCTAAATTGCTACAGTTCAAGTTTGATACTTTCATTTAAAAAACAAAATCAATTTTTCTAATTTTACTTCGAATTATACAAATAGGATGGACACTAAGTTTGCACACTGCCCTTCTACCTAATGTGCAGCTTTTAATCTCATTTGACATGTGCACGTGAGCACAACAGCCAAATACCGTGCCACTGAAACTGTGAAACGTATAGTTCCGAACAAAGATTTAATAGTTTTTTTCTTTCTTTTTCCTGGCTACTGACAATGCAATGTAGTATTATACAGTGTTCAAGTATGGTTAGTTGCGTATCCTTTACAGGGCGTTGCAGAACCAACAGCCCCTGGCTGTTGTGTGGTTTTTCTAGGCAAATTGACGTCCAGTAGTTTGCCATTTTCTGGATGGTCGACTTTCTTGATAACACTGTCGAAACCAACGCAAGGCGCATGGCCCGCAGTTGGGATCGAACCCGGCATTACGAAGCGTTCGCATCGACTCAGCCACAGAGCCGACGTTCAAGTATGAAGAAAGAATAAAAGTACACCCCCCCCCACCCCCGTTTCCTTTCCCAAATATGAAATGATTCAGTTCGCTTGTCATTATGCAAGAGTTCCCACTCTAAAGGACGAACTATTGTTGTTTCATTCAATTGTACTCCATGACGCTGGTTAAAAAAAATATTCTGCGTAATAAATCTAAATGAACTTATTAAGGTAAAGCCAGTCAGACAAGATGCAAGTCAAACTTCTAGTGACAGATCCTTCCTTACCTTGTGACATCCTGGTGGAAAGTTTAGTGTGGATGTCCGATAAATGTCTGAACTCGTCTACGTAGTAATTGAACTCTTTTTTCGGATCACTTGCAAGTGACAGCAGTTCGTTTCGGTCCACTAGGGTAGTTGCGCCTACGGTGAATAATGAGATCATGTTCTCTTTGATCAGGGTCGCATTATCAGCTGACAGTTGTTTATGCCTGGAAGGGAATTACGCTTTGTTTATTGTTTTGTTACCCTTGAAACAAATGAAACATGTAAACATGAGGTTATAGGTCTACATAGTTCCCTGCCCTTTACAAAACGTGGAAAACCAAGCCCAGCATTTTTTTCTTTTTTTTTTTTACAATGTGGGGTTTTTTTTTTCTAGGCTATTTCATTTTCAGCAGTTAGCCATTACTTGGGAACGAATGCATGAAAACATAAAGATTGTTGTATAAGGTTGCATTTTTTTTTTCAATCTACAAAGCTTAGCGAAATAAGCCCAGCATTTATTGAAAATATACATCACATACTAGAAACTAACAAAAAAGCTATGAGAAAACAAGGTGTGATGAAGAAATTGGCAGGCACCACTTGGGGAGCAGACAGTTGTATCTTGAAGCAGGTATACACCGGCACAGTCAGACCAACTCTCGAATACGCATCATCGTCATGGATAACAGCAGCCCATTCCAATAAACAGATACTAGACAAAACGCAAAATAGAAGTCTGCGTACACTTCTGGGAGCCATAAAATCTACACCTATTGTAGAAATGGAAAAGGCAGCCAACATCATCTCCTTAGAAGAAAGAAGAAGGACAAAAGCAACTCTACATGCTGAAAAAATGAAGAGAATGCTAAACCACCCATTACACGAAAAATTGGCAGCCAGGACAAAAAACAGAATAAAGCGCACAAGCCTAAACCATCTAACGAAGGAATTTGGAAAGTCATTCTCTTCACTACTTAACCAACAATGTACACCTGAAGAGCTATCTTTCGATTTCTGGGACTCCGAATTATTGACACTCAATGTGTCAACATCCATCCCAAACCTGGGAAACAAAGATGCTGAGCCCGCTTTAGTGAAGAAAGCACTCACAATGGAACACCTCAACAACATGTTCCCACAGGACAGCTGGACGAGAATCTACACGGATGGATCAGCAAAAGAGGCAACTACGAATGGTGGGGCAGGTGTTTACATAAAACACCCAGATGCCACTACTGTGTCCCTAGAAGCCCCCACAGGACGAACTTGCTCTAACTACAAGGCAGAAATCTCAGCTCTATTGATGGCAGCACAGTATATGAACAATCTGCAAATCACCGCAGGCAGGATAGTTTTTCTCACTGACTCACTGTCAGCTGTACAGGCCCTTGAGTCCAAACCTAGCGACAGCACACTACAAAGTCTAACACAGGAACTTGCTTTGTTGTCAAATAAGGCAGAAATTCACTTGCAGTGGATTCCGTCTCACTGCGGCGTCAAAGGCAATGAAAGCGCAGATGCTTTAGCCAAGGAAGGCAGTAACAAACTACAGACCTACCAGCCACTATCTTTTCCAGAAGTAAAAACTCTTATTAAGAGAAAATCAGAAACAGATTGGAAAAACAACACTGGTTATAACTACGGAAAAGATTTTCTGAGGCACTTGAACAGAACAGACCAAGTCACAGTTTTTCGCTTACGCACTGGACACTGCAGACTCAATAAACACTCATATAAATTAGGTATGAGCCAAACAGCTCTCTGCCAGTGTCTTCGTGTCGTGCTGAACAGACTCCAGAACATGACCTGCAAGACTGTCCTCTCCTGGCGGAGCTGCGGAGCGACATATGGCAACACCCAGTAGAACTGACAACTAAGCTTTGGGGAAACCTAAGAGACCTTGAAAAGACATCCCAGTTTATGACCCACAGTGGATTATGCGCATGACCAGAGATCGCTGAAGAAGAAGATTGAAAATATGGTTTTTCTAGGCAGTTTTACATCCAGCAAATCGCGTTTGTTTTCAAAATAGGGCGTCAATCTAGCATGATCAAAATCAATGCACAGCAGTCGGGCGGCCACTGAATTCGGTATGTCGGGATTGTGAAACTGTAATCACTGCACCTAAACCCACAGACGTCGACCACACACACAGAGAGAGAGAGAGAGAGAGAGAGAGAGAGAGAGAGAGAGAGAGAGAGAGAGAGAGTGAGAGAGAGAGAGGGTGGGGGGGGGGGAGACGGGAGAAAGATGTAACAATTTTTCAACACAGATGAAGTAGAGGAAAGTTGCTCATGACTAGTTGTACGTCAGCACCTTTGCCCCTGTGTCTACTTGATGAGTAACCTGTCAAGAGTGGTAGCGACATCTCAGCACTTTTAAGACAGATAAGGAGATTCATTGTTCTCCCTCTTCTCGCGTTCATGGTCACAACAGGATGTACTAATAATCCAAGCAATCAACAAATGGATTGTTATCTGAATGATTTCAGCTTTTATTTGATGGCAAAAGATTCCACCACATAGCAGAGTGGGGTGATACTGATGATACTAGTAGTAAGTATAAGTATCACAACTGGCGAATGTGGTCACACAGATATACTGGTAGTAAAAAGTAAAGGTAAAGGGCTATCTTCCGAATAACGGTCCCAAATTATCGAGGCAGAAAATATACCCTAACAGGGCCTCAGTCACGTGTCAACTGCGCACTTATGGGGACTTAAATTGTGCACTTCAGGCGAGTTCCGCCACCGCCGAGGGTATCCCACACGCCGCTCACGCGGCATGGATTGGGGCTAAACTAGATGGCTGGGAGCGTGAGCGGCGTGGAGGATACACTCGGCGGTGGCGGTATAGTCCCTGGAAGAGCGCAATTGACACTTGACTGAGGCCCTGTTAGGGTATATTTTCTGCCTCGACAATTTGGGGCTGTTTTTTCGAAGATAGCCAGGTAAAGGACTCTTTTCAGCGCCTTCAGGCTATTGGGCGTATAGGGCTGGACGTATATTTTCATATACCAATCAATGCTTGGTGGATGATGTGGTCAGCATCACGCAGGTCGGGTTTATTTAAGAGGACTGCACCTGGTACCCACTCAGGGGGGGGGGGGTGTCGACCTGGTAGCTTAGGTCATTTTTGAAAAAAAAAAAAAGTCCGGTACCGCCAAGACCCGAAGCCACGACCTTCCGATCCACACGCAAGCGTCCAGCCGCTTCACCACGACGACTCCATGATACTGATAATAGATCTAATTAACACAAGTGACGAATGTGGTAATACTGATAATTGTAGTAGTTGGTCCAATTATCACAACTGACGAATTTGGTAATACTGATTATTGTGGTAGTTGGTCTAGTTATCACAACTGACGAATTTGGTAATACTGATGATTGTGATAGTTGTTCTAATTATCACAACTGACGAATTTGGTAATACTGATGATTGTGATAGTTGGTCTAATTATCACAACTGATGAATTTGGTAATACTGATGATTGTGATAGTTGGTCTAATTATAACAGCTGACGAATTTGGTAATACTGATTATTGTGGTAGTTGGTCTAATAATCACAAACGAACTTCTTCTTTCTCTTCTTCCCTTGTCGGGGTGGGGGGGGGGGGGGGGGTAGGGGGATAGAGGAAGGGGGGGGGGGAAATGTAAACATTCCTCATTTCTGTCAACAGCACTATTAAGATTGATGTTCATAAATGTAAGGCTGTTCCTAATGCCATCAGTCCATTTTTTCCGAGGTATTCCGCTCTTTCTATACCCGTTGTAACGTTTCAGTGTGGCTCGCTGTGGTAGATAGTATCTGGACATTGTTGTTAAGTGTCCGAACCACTGCATCTGTTGCTCTTTAATGACCTGTAAGACTGGCTTTATTCCTAGCATTCGTCTGAGAGCTGACGAACATGGTAATACTGATGATACTGATAGTTGGTCTAATTATCACAGCTGTTAAATGTGGTAATACTGATGATTGTGGCAGTTAATCTAATTATCACAGGAGATGAATGTAGTAACACTGGTTACTCTTTTTCTTTATCTTCTTCACGTTCACCATTTATAAACTCTGGCGGAAAACTAGCTGTTCGTCCACCTCTGGACTTTAGTCTTGTTCCAGAATCTGAGTTGTGCATGCACATCCATTTTACAGACGGTTTATTTTTATGCAGACTGCTAGTTTCTTGCTTCTCAGGCGGGCGCAATCCTACTTCAAAGGAAATCCCTAATTAGTCTTATTAGGGGGAGGCAATAGGTCTATGCCCCCCCCCCCACCCCCACAAACGGCTTCCGAGACACCCACAAGAAAAATTGGTGATAATAACAGCTGGTCTAAAAAGTAAAAGGCAAAGGGCCCTTTTCCGGGTTTTTAGGCGTATCAGATATATAGGGCTAGACTTATTTTTATAGACCAAACGGCACTTGGTGGGTATTGTGGTCAGCATCACACCGGCCGCCTTTACTTCCAAGGACTGTACCTAGCACCCATTCAAAGCTAGGGCGACCTGGGAGCCAAAGTCATTTTTAGACACACAAAAAGTCCGTCCACCGTTAGGAACCGTGCCCACGGCCTACCGATCAGCAGGCGAGCGTCTAGCCTCTAGACCACGAAGGCTACCAACAGCCAGTCTAATTATCATAAATTAATCATGTGGCGTAAACATTGACGAGGACAGCATGAGGGATACAGAAGGTAAAGATGAGCAGCAATAAAATGATTATCATGACAGGCTGATGGAACCAGGCAACAAAGGCAGAGTCCCCTCCCATAATTTTCCAAGGAAGCTAATCAGCCCCTTTGAGCAGGTAACTCAGGCTGAGTCCCTTCCCATAATTTTCTAAGCAAGCTAATAAGCTCCCTTTAACCAGGAAAATCAGACTGAGTCCTCTTCCATAATTTGCCAAGGAACCTAGTCAGCTCCCTCTTAACCATGTATATAAATTCTATGTAAAGGTATTTATTTGTGCATTTCATATTATTTTCAGTGTATTATCTTCCTTGCGTTAACCGGCTATAAACTCCAATGGTAAGTTCAGGGTGTTTGTTCACCACCGGACTTTAGTCTTGTTCGAGAACCTGCGTGTTGAGTGTACATCCATGTCACAGATCTGGCTTATTTGTATCCAAACTCACGGTTCCTTGCCTCTCACGCAGATGTACTCCGACTTTAAACGATGCCTCCAATTAGTAGATTCCTACGACATGCTTTTTGGCGAGGCAGTGGGTCATTCTTGTTTTCCCCCACAATGGAGCCCCGAATATACACGGTGAAAGATGCTCTTATATTTATTTACCATTCAGCATAATGTTTTGAGGCCTGTTACTATGCTCTTGATCTAGGATTACGCTCCCTGAGGCCCCTCCCCCATCTTTTTTGCATAGAAAACGTGTAGAGCGGGATGTCTGGGGGGGGGGGGGGGGGGGTCCTCTGTCAACTGGATCATGATGATGAAAATGACAGCAGTAAGAATTTTTTTTTTAAATGGACGATAGTGATTTGATTTGAACATACCTGGACGGTCCATCTGTGAACACCACCGCAATAAGGGGAACGTTCAATCGGACAAGGCTTTTTGGCAGGCACTTTTCTCTCAGGCCATGCAGACCCCTGTTAAAAAAAAAAAAATCGGGTAGTTAAAGTAAACAAAAAGTAAAGTATTATTCTCACGCCATTGGCGCATCGGATATTCAATGCTATACCCATCTTGTAAAGACAAGTGATTGATGCAGTCAACATTGCAAGCGCTGCATTCACTCTTAATGAAATTTACTGTTACCTATTTTAGACTAAGTCGACCTGAGAGCTTAGTTATTTTCGGGTGGGTGGGTGGGGGGGGGGGGTGGGTGTGGGGGTGGGGCGAAACAAATTCCCCTCGACACATATTCGAACACAAATCCACTGGATCTACAGGCATGATTCACAGTTACGGTGTGGAAATTAATATATTGTTGCTATTTGTAAATCTTTGGAATCTTGAGTTTTACTCTACTTCTACGTACGATGCTTTGGCGTGCAAGTATAGTGAGCCTGGGGGAAAAAAGGGCTGCATCTGTCGGAGCAAGATTTATGTAGACTTTGCTGCGGAACCGGGTAGTATCTATAAGATCTCTCTGTTGCATAGCTCTCTTCTATCAGTCTTCAAGTTCAGAAGCCAGCTGGGTGTACCAGACTAGGAATGAAGCTTTACGTGTGCGATTGGCCATTTTAAGATATACAATGTATTTAGATAAATCGGTACTCAGTGCTTTAGTTAACACCATGCTAGTAGTAGTATTTGTTCTTGTTTTTGTAAATGAAGTAAAAGCAATAGAAGTAGCAGCAGCTGTAGTTGAACTGGTAGTTACATCAAGTGTGGTAAGTGTAGCACTAGGAGTAGTAGTTATAGCACAGTAATAGTAGTAATAGCAGCAGCAATGCTAGTAGCAGCGGCATGAGCAGTAGTAGTAATAATATTAAGCTAATAGTAGTAGCAGCAGCAATAACAGCAGTAGCATCAGCAGCAATAGAAATAATAATTTAAAAAAATTGAGAAGTGCATTGCTTAAAATGTTTTAAATACTGACTTAAACAAGAAAGTGCATTTACCTGGAAAGGTACCCGTCTCCTTTCAAATAGGGCGCATTTAAGATTTCACTCCTGAGTGTTTCTTTAGGCAGATTGTTGGTGATTGGTATGTGTAGTGTAAATCTGTCTGCGAATACACCGACTCCCACCCTGGTGGTAGATGGACCTATGTCCATGTCGGACACAAGACTGGAAACAAACTGGAGCATAGTTGTGAAGTCCCGTTCCCAGACACTGGAAGAGGCATCAACCACAATGCAGACGTCGGCTTTCTTGTCTTTCCAACCTGTTTTATAACAGAGAGATTTTGTATCGTAATTATTAATAGTCTAAATTGCTACAGATCAAGTCTGATACATTCATTTAAAAACGAAATCCATTCTTCTTATTTTACTTTGCATTAACAAAGCAAATAAAACGTGGATAAAACCAGTCGTTCTACATGGCTCTGAAACATGGAGCACAGCTAAAAGAGATGAAGCCTTATCACACATTTTCTAAAACTGAGTATTACGACGAATTTTTTGACCCATCAAAGATGCAAACAGCGGGGAATGGAGAGTGAGAAGCAACAACGAAATTTATAATCTGTCTAAAAAAACCCCATTGACCACTGGCTTTAAGAGATCTAACTGACTGAAATGGCTTGGGCATATTGAAAGAATGTCAAATGACAGAGAGATAAAGACTGTATACACAAGGAAACTGAATGGTCGTAGATCACGAGACAGACCAAGAAGACGATAGATAGATAACGTCCAGACAGACCTGCAAACACTTGGTATCACCAACTGGAAAGAGCAGGCCAACTAACAAATAACATAATGGGCGCTAAAAGTGTATAGACGAACGAAATCACAAAGAAAGATTTGACGATGAAAACAACATTGTCATCACTGGTAAACGTTATCAAAGGAAGAAAAATGAGATGTTTGGACATGATTGTGGTATGAATCGTGACACACTGTGACAACGACAGCTCTCCTATGTGCGGCAGATAAAAAGGGAATACACGGGCAGCCTAAGGCGACCTGGAGAAGGACAGTAAAAAGTGAAACTAAGGAATGTCAACTTTCATGGCATACCAGTGATAGAAAAACGATAACCGGTAGCAATAGAGACAATTTGTGAATGCCTTATGTGTTAGTGACGACATTAAGAGGGTATAGATAGAATGAGTGCTAAGTTTACGTACACTCAGTGATGTATTTGATATAATGTTACTTTATCCCAAGTTATAATATGTCATCACAGTTAATATCACTGCGCACTACGTGTGGGTTCCAGGGCGCTGTTGTAGGGGAGGGAGGGGCGCTAGAAAAGACACGCTTCCTTCCCAACAATCATGTCGTAAGAGTCGACAAATTGGGAGCCTTCTTCAAAGTCGGAATACATCTGCCCGAGCCGCAAAAACAACCAGCTGCACACAAATAAGCCAGTAAAACGGATGTACACGCACAACTCAAGCCTTGACACCCAACACATCAGTATTCCGCAAAGTTATGCAGTGCCACCCAGTCTGTCCGCCTGATCATTTCCAAGCCCAAGCCCTGGAGAAAAGATTCAGATAATGCTAATCACCCGTGACCTCCGAAGTCACTGTACGAAGCATACCTGTCTTCACCTTCATCAGCATGCGTTCTGAGTTAGTTACAATCACTATGTGTGAGTGTGTGTATGTGTGTGTGTGTGTGTGTGTGTGTGTGTGTGTGTGTGTGTGTGTGTGTGTGTGTGTGTGTGTGTGTGTGTGTGTGTGTGGTGTTCTCTAACCAGCGAAAAGCTGCAGTGACTGGCTGCACCTCCATTCTTAAGCTGAATGTTGTGATGTCATATGCTAGACTCTCCTCTAACAATTACTATTTGTGTTCTTAGCTTCGTGATAAATCACGGATGCTGAGAGAAATTAATCATTTCGGTTAAGAAATTCCTAGCAGTACAAAAACAACAAACATCTATCCCACTGACCTTTCCACTTACACTGACGTGCGAGAATTACTAACATAAATGGGACTAGATGTCCTATCATTGAAAGTGGGGCAAACCACTTGAGAACAATTAAAAGCTTTAGACTGAAGGATCCTTATGATGATTTCAATTTGACACTTTGAATAGTTTGTTCCGTATATTTTAAACTACTGGTTTTCATTGAATGTAAAAGGGGTACAGAGTTCAATCTGAATTCAAGCGAGGTAAGGAATAAGGGGGTGCTTAAAGTTGTATCCTGACAAGATTGCTCTAAACAGTGTTGAGATATATAAATATGTGTGGTTAAAGTCTTACAGCAACAAAATATGTATTGTTTATGTATAATCACTTGACACACTTTCTATGTTGAATGTTGTGCAACTGTCCATGATTCGACAGTTTCACTAACCTGCGAACTCTTATCATCACCATATAGCTAGTCCTTTGCATAGCGAGCCTTTAGTAACAGCTAGACTGAGAGAAACTCGGTTCTTCACTAGCTCTCCTGACCCATGCACTTTCCTGCCCAAGTTGTCTCTTGTGTCCTGTGGCCACCTTTGCGCTGGTCGGCCTCTGCCTTACCCGTCCCCATGTCATACAACACTGTTAATTTCAAACCATTACGACTTTGTTTTGGCTAAAATAAGTTTCAGATATACGAAGGTGTTTAATGGCCAGCAGTATGTAGCCAATACCTTGGACGGCTAGAGTAAATAACAACGTTTGCTTGAAATAAGACAAAGATAGATCTCTACATTCAACATAAGAAAGAGACAAACACTGTTCTTTTGCCACGTAATGAGAAGGGAGACATTGGAGAACATCGTGACAACTGGAAAGATCAGCGGGAAACGGGGTAGAGGCAGACCAAGAGAGATTATGCTGGATGGGCTGAAACGTTGGCATGGAGGGATATCATCAAGAAAGATGTTCCAGGCAACCAGGGAACATGATCTATGGAAACGCATGAGCACCTACGCTAGTTGACAGGGCACATGATGATGATGAGTATGTAGCCACGAGGCGATGGTACGAAAGGGGCACAAATCACCGTGTGGATAATAAGGTATCCAGTTTAAAACTCGCCCCCCTCCCCATCCTATCTGACCGTAGTAGATAGGGCAGCCAGTCGACTGTGATTAGAGTAACAAGCTAGGAGGAACCTACGAATATATTGTTAACGTTGAAATCCTCATCAGTCGGACAATCAACGGAGAAGGCAGAAGAATGTTGAATGTTGAATTAAGAAGACATCACAGCACTCGGAACACTCCCATAAGTGCTCAGTCCCCATCTTCAGCAGCAAGCGAATAAAAGGCAAAAAAAAAAAAAAAGGACAACATCAGGTTAGGGGAGGGAGCGGGGGACAATAAGGACAGCAGCAATAACAAAAGACTATTTATAGCGTGTGTGATTATGGTACACACATATAGGAGCTTCATCCTTGCTACAGAGTTCGCACAACGTTTTCTCCAGAAAAAGGAAAGCTGTGGTTCGTGTATGTTGAAGGTTCCCTTTCCCTGCTTACGGTACGTGACTGGTAACTTAGATCGTATCCGCCTGCAAAGAAAGCTATCCAACAGAAACAAACTTACGCGCACTAAAGTGAACTAAACAAGTAATAAATTGTAATATAAGAATGTTGATACAGAAATTCTATGCTTTTCATTGTTTGAATTGCATACCTATCCTTGACAAGTTCCTTACAGTATCAGCTGACAGCGTATGCTGTGTGTCCCGAAAAGTGCTCATATTTCATAGATCAGGCTGCCACGGCGGATTTATCAAGTTGCGCTTTGAATTCAGAAGATGGCTGACTGCTACTATAGCAATATGTGTTTTATAAATTATCCTTGCTATCTATACACACGGAAAAGAAACGGAAAGTGAACGCGCTATCATACACAGGAAGAGATTCATAAGTTAACAAATAAACATAAGCACAAAGAGATATTCAGACATATAGAGAGATAGATAAACAAAGAGCGAGACAATAATATTGATCGATTGACAGACAGTAGGACAGGTAGACAGCCCTACATGTTGATAACAGACAGACAGATAAACATGCAGGCATACATAACAAACACAATGAAGCAATTAACTCACCCTCAGTAGTCTGGCCTGGGACGGGTACTCCTAAACATGAGCAAACCTGGAATCAAATTCAAATTTGCTGTCAACAACACTAAAATAAACATGATTAAAGTTAACATCAGTCCTTTCTCCGTATGGGTTTCAGGGCTCATTTTAGGAGGAAAATGCACAGACCCATTGCCCCCAACGAGCATGCCGTAAAGGCCACTGATAAGGACTTTGCTCGAATCTGATGTGTTAGGTGAAAGTCGCAGATATCGCAGTCTAACTGGGTGAATTCTAAAAGAAATAAGAAAAATGTCTGTGTAACCACTGGTAACAACGATTGTAAGACAAAGAAAATGGTGCTATATTGGACAGTTCCTGGTAGATAATTTCCAAACAATGCTATAATCTAAAATAAAGGGATTGAGGAAGCAAGGACTTCCAAAACCAACCCTAAAATGAACGTTGACAAGAGAGGCTAAAGATACTGGACGATACTCTCCATTATATGGATGGGATTGCGCAGGATAGAATGGAGAAAAGTTAGTTAGTTAGTTAGTTGGGTTATTATCATTGTACTCTGGGTTATTATCATTGTACTCTGGACATGTCCATAGGTGCTCAGATCCCCCTTCAGTATGAACTCCAACGTCCGATGGCTAATAGTACCAGTTCTATGTTGATTAACTAGTCTTCTGGTGTGTCTGGTGTGCGGCTCGTTTTTTTGCTATGCCGATCCTAATTCCCAAGTCTGCCATTCTGGCGAGTGATGTGGATTCACTGCCCCCAAAGTCCTATATCCTTCTCATTTCTCTGAGGGCATTAATAATATCAGCATGATCCATAGGTAGTGATAGTGGATCCAGCCAACTGTATCAGGAGTAAAGGTATAAATTGCGAGCCCAATGTTACATATATTGGCACAGCAGGACAATGATGATGATGATATACATAAATTCTGAATTTGAGAGGTAAATGAGTGCTCAGCAGAAGTTCCCCTGAAGACTTTGTACTTAATAGTTAGTTGCGTATCCTTTACAGGACGTTGCAGAACCCGCTGCATCATTCTATGGCTGCTGTGGTGTTTCTAGGCACATTTTACGTCCAGCAGTTTGCCATTGCCCACTCAACGGTCAGCTCTCGGTACCACTGACGAAACCAACGTAAGAGCGATCTTTTGCAGCTCGGATCGAACACGGCATTACTATGCACTTTACTTAGTACATGTAGGAATAAAGCCTCTTCGTCATATTCATTCTGATAATTGAAAGCCCTATAATGGCTCAGACTTCGTGAACGCCAATGCACCATAGTTAACAGCTAGCCCACTAGACCAGTCTGCTCGGGGTCCACATTTAAGGGGTCAATGATATATCATCTACATCCCCCTTTCTTTAGCTTTAGAATGCAGTCCTATTTTCCATGTTTGAATGTTGAATTAGGAATCGACATCACCGCACTCGGGACATTCCCATAAGCACTCCGTCTCCATCTTCAGCAGCATGTACAGATTTCCAAATCCGATGGCATCAGTTACAGTCTGATTGTGTATCCATCTTGACTTCCCCTTGGGTGTTGAGTGTCGGCCAGATCTCCTTGCCACTCCTAGCAGCACCATTGTCCTCAGACCGTAATGATTAATCTGTATCTCAACTGCTTATTCGCTCTCAAAGGCCCCTAACAACATGTATCTTTTCGTGCATCAGTTGATTACCAAGTGGGGCAGAACTAGCATGCCTATCTGTCTGTTAGTTTCTCATCACGCAGTCATTACCTGAATGAATAAAATATCCATAGGACGCTAGCTGCCTAGGACCTCTGCACGGGTTAATCCCGTCTCCCTATTTCTCAGAATGATCTGAGTATGACTATTAAAAAGCTATGTGGTATGTTGCAGACCTCCGATTAAAAGAAGTGTCTTCAGGCCCTGACTAATCCGGAACCACTCCGCTAAAAAATGTATAACCAGTCTGCCAACGTATCATACACTGTGCTAGCACAGCGGCCAGACACTTACCTGTCGACGCGAATATCTTGTGTTCGAATCCGCAAGGAATGGGAAATGAGGGAAAAAAAGAAAAAAGGGGGGGGGGGGGGCATAAAGAAAACAAAAACTAACGTAGGCTGTCAGGTTTATACATTATAAAATTGGTTGAAGGAATTATCGTGGGAAATAAAGGCAGTTTGTATAGTATCATTTATCCAATGTACTTTACTTTTACTACCAACTTATCGAACATAAATAAATGCCTGAGATTCCCGGAGCCCATTGAATTGGTGCGATAAACAATTATAGTAGTCTAAACAATTATGACATAATTAGTACGACCAACAACCTGCTAGTATCTCTACTTTACTGTCCAACGTCAGTGCCAAACAGCACTTTAAAATTTGTTTGTGTGGTTAACAAAATATAGGCATTTCTCAAAGTCCCTGCCGTGTGGTATTGGTAGTCATGTCTATCCACAACCTTCTGTCTCGTGTACTTTCAGTCAACTCTGATACAGATGGTCCTCCGTGCCATGATGTCAAACTGTTCAGCATCTTTTCTCTAGGTCTCCATCTGCCTCCCCTCCCCTCCAACTTCCCTACTGTCACGATGTGCTCCAGTTTTCTCCTTCTTATCATATGACCAAAGAATGTAGATTGTCTTTTTTATGATGTTTGCAGTCAGTTATCTTCGTGAGTGAGTTTCTTCAAGACGTGTTCATTATTCTTTTTATCTGTCCAGGGTATTCTCATCATTCGTTTATAAAACCACACCTCTATAGCTTCCAAATAAGCCTTCACTAATCTACTGACTGTCCACGATTCACTTCTGTATATCAGTACAGGTTGTGTGTAGCTTTTAAGAATTCTTTTGACAAAGAAAGATAGCATAGAGCATTGTTCATTTGTTTGAGCTATTCGACGTTTGACTTCTTTAATAAATATTCCATCTGATGTAATCAGGGTATACAAGTACTTAAACATGTAAACTTGCTTGTGTAGTAAGCATAATATAGGCACATACTTACCAAAATAAGAAGTACAATTGCACTGCTAAGACCTAGCATACTTGCACGTTGTAGAAAAAAGAATGACACAGTAATCAAACACAATATCTAAAGTTACTGTCCTGAATATAAGCAGTTGCCTGTCGTGATAAGAGCGTTAGTTAATGTTAAGTTTTGGAAAAACCCGACTGTCGCCGCGTTTATATAGACACTGACAGGTTGACAAAGTTGACCGTGTCACAGTAGGCGGGAGTGCCTGGTACTCCGCCCACACAATTTTCTAAAATCTTAGATGTTGAAGCAGCTTCAAACCTCGTGACCGCCAGGTATGCAAACCGCAGGTGTGTTTGTGTGTGTGTGTGTATATATGTATGTGTGTGTGTGTGTGTGTGTGTGTGTGTGTGTGTGTGACCCACCTGCTGCACTTAACCTCTCTCATATTTCACAGCCTTCTAATTTGAAAAGCATATGCAGTATGACGTAAGTAGGCCAACAATGACAAGCCATATCAGGGAAACAGTTAAAAATAGAAAATATAGTTTCCTGACCTACATTTGTAAAGCTCCAACTTGAGCAGTAAAATTCGTGCATAACAGCAGCAATTTCATACTAGGCCAAACTGAGCAGCTTCTGTTGCGTACCGGCAAGAGGCCCGCCTGTCAGTCCAGTGGTCTTGGGTTCGAATCAGCATTGAGTCGGATTTTTTTTTCTTCTTTCAAAAATGACAATCACTTTTATGTCGTCCCAGTCGGAACTGAGCATCAGGTAAAGTCACGGGATATAATACCGATCTGTCTAGCATCATAAATCGATATTTGCCCTGTGGGTTCCTGTGGCCCCCCTGTGAGGATAAACAAGAATAGACCTACTGCCTTTATAACAAGCACGTCTTAGGAGTAGACTAATATGGTGTCCGGGGGTTGGGGGGGGGGGGCATCCTTAGAAATCCAAGTACATCGGCTTGAGAGACTAGTAACTAACAGTCTGCATACAAATAATTAGTTGTTTGAAACGGATATGCACACAACACACAAGTACTGAAACACGACTAAAGTCTGGAGGTGGACGTACACCAGAACTTTCCGCGTGAGTTACCTTAATTTGTTTTTAAAATTCTGTTTTGTCCAATTTCTGCGTTTGTCCAGGAAATATGTTGGTTTCCTGTGTCCACTTGTAGCATACCAGTTTTCTAGTCGACCCATCGAACGTTAATACGTTAAAGTTAACATTAATTTTGTACTCTTTACCCGACGTTGCAAGCCATCCCCACATGTTGTTGTTTCTGCCTTTACTGGTACCGGTACATTAAGAAACCCTTAGAGCTCCAAGAGACTTCGCAGGGGTTCTGCCGGCGCTATGCAAGAAGAACAGAAAATAGTTAAGTAGATTCACCACAGAAATTGATTGAAAGATGGACACTCAGCAAGCCAGCATAGTTGGGAAACGCTAGACTAGATGTTTCCTAAGCTGCGCTTGACGTACAGTTGAAGTGAACTTCGTGCTGAGACATGATTTGCGTTGCAAATACATTCATGACAAGTCTAGGTTGGCCAGGATGTCAGCTTGCCCGTGGGAAAGTAGGTCGCTTATGTAGAGTACTGCTTTATAATGTTGGACGCAAGTTTTTGTTCTTTTAAAGCCCCCCCCCCCCCCAGCTATTACCTGCGACCCTAACAAAACCCACCTTTTAGATTAAAAGGGGTTTCTGGAACCTGTCCCAAGGTCATCCTCATCCGAATGGTGGCACTTTGTGTCACCGGATGTTAATCGCCCGGCCTGATGTCCTAGTGGGGTTGAACATCAGTCAGTCAACAAGGCCGCTGATACCCTAATGAAGCGGGTCTAATTAACCAATATTCAAACATTGTGACCTGGTAAAAGCTTGAAAATATTTACATCTTTAAAAATTTACACACGGAAGCGGCAGATATGTAACGCCTAGACCATCGCTCGCGTGCGGATCGGAAGGTCGTGGGTTCAGGTCCTGACGGAACCTGATTTTTTTACTTCAGATATGATCTTGGCTTCTAGGTCGACCCACATTTAATTGAGTACCAGGTAAAATATGGGAAGTAAAGGTGGTCGGCGTGATGTTGACCTATCACCCACCGAGTGCCGTTACTAACGGTTAAAAAAAAAAACCCACCAGTCCCCGACTCGAGATTTTTGCCCAACTACCGTGCTGGCAATGTGCATGTGGAAAGAGCTTCACGGAGTAGCATTGTCTGAGAACGCCTGCCGAAAGAATGAAATGCCAGGGTGCGCCACGCAGTAAGCGTTCGCGCATAGCTATTCCTGAAGTTAATAAGTCGTCAGGGAACGACGTGCAGGGTGAACCCCACTCGCCTGGAGAGGCCCAGGACGTCTATCACAGAGGCACACATTTGAATTTTTTTCCTCCCATATTAGAAGATACAGTTTCCACCTGCAAGCGAAAGGGTGTCGTGGTGCAAGCTGGAGGGTGAAATGTGTGAGAAAATTAATGGAGAATTTAGAAAAAGTCGCTAGGTGATTAGCTAATACCGTTTGGTGATATAATCAACACACACTGTGCCCGAGAGTTGGAGACAGTCAAATTGACGTAGCCGGGGAAAAAAATAACAGGAGTCAGAGAGACACCAAGAAGTGCTGAGCAGACAAGAATGCACTGGACAAAGCCGCTACGGACAGGGAGCTGAAAGGGCTGCACGAGGTCTGGCTGCACCTAAAGAGCAGACCCAGTGCCCTCTGTCGCGCAAACCAAGCATCAGCAACAATCAGCTAAAACCCACAGATACTGATACTAAGAGAACTGGACCAGACCAGACCCAAAACCCCAAGAACCACACCGGGCTTAGGAAGACAAAGAACAGGAATATTAGGTGTGACTTCACACCACAAAGAATAGGACACCAAAAAAGATAGCCAAGGAACCTTCCTTCATATAGCAGGCCTGTGTTTGCTACCTTAAAAAAAAAATTACATTCCTGAAATACAAATTGTCAAGTACAAATGTCTGACGACAAAGGGTGTGGACAATTTAATGCGTAGAAAACTGATTGCAGTTCATTAATTAATGATAAGCTGGTATATATGCAAGAATTTAGAGAATTTAGTAATTTTTCACAGTAAAATTACTCTGGCTCGATATAAATCTGTTTCTTCTGCGTTCAACAGCCATAAACGGTCGGTTGGCACATTGTGTTGTGGTTTACAAGCTGTGATATCTGCACCTTTCAGTCGAAACACACCCTATTTGAGCGAATCCCTAAAGAGTCACCTTTTACAGCATTCTTGTTAGGGATGGCGGATCCACCCCCCTCCCCCATCTTTCCCCACATAAAAATGGGTGACGGGCATCTGTACGGGAAAGAGAATTCAGTACTTGGGATTGTTTATGATTGATTTAAAAAACGACGATACATTTGTTGTTTAGTCACGATGGAAAGACTAGTTTAGCCGAAAAGATAAAGTTTTTTTTTTTAGTGTTTGGAACATTGTTGTACGCTTATTCTTTAGCTAATATTGCGACTGTCATAAAAACACCGGAGGATTCAGCTTAGGGCCTCACAATCTGTAGGGGCTTAAAATCCCCCGTCCCCAAAAAATCAGTCTTTTCTAATAGACACACACACACACACACACACACACACACACACACACACACACACACACACACACATATATATATATATATATATATATATATATATATATATATATATATATATATATATATATATATATATATTTACGTGTATGTAAAAATCCCCATACATTTGTCCATATGTTATAATTTTTTAGGCTATATTATCTCCTACTTTCATTCACAACAGCTTGATATGCGTCAGCATTCACCACTAATACCCGTGGGTTCAGGCACTGATAGGAGCCGGAGCTTTCTTCAATACAGATATTGGCTCCCAGGTCCATCCAGTCAAAAACTGGTACCAAATAAAGTCCTGGGAAGCAAAGACAGCCGGCGTAATGTTGACCACATCAACCACCGAGTCCTGATTGGTCTATACAGTATAGGTCTAGCTCTATCTGCCATGAAGGCGGGGAGAAGGGAAGCTTTTGTTTACTTTTACCAGGAGAGGGTAAAATTTCTCTGCGCATGCAAGTTTCCAACATTGGTTAGTTGCGTATCCTTTACAGGACGTTGCAGAACCAACCCAAACATCCCCTGGCTGTTGTGTAGTTTTTTTTTCTAGGCAAATTTACGTCCAGTAGTTTGCCATTGCTTTCTGGACGGTCGGCTTATCTAACCTCTGTCGAAACCAACGCAAGGCGCACGGCCCGCAGCTGGAATCGAACTCGGCATCCCGGCATTACGAAGCGTTCACATCGACTTAGCCACAGAACCGACACTTTCCAACATAAAAAAGCTAAAAAAAAAAAAAAAATGGTGTTACAACAGCCTGTTTAGTTGTGGAAGAAACTAGCGTGTTAATACATGACAAGTTACAAGTAAGCAATAGGCCTGGTACATGGTCACGTGTCCTCAAGTTACATGTATTAACAGCTTTGCTGGTAGGCTGTCTTCCATTCTCAATCTTACTACTCCCTTGTCATCAACTGTTTTCACTTCTCTTTATGCCCAGTGCAACATAATGCTTCAGAAGACTTTACGTGCCTTCCTGTCCAGTGCAGTCTTCAGTGCAGTTTTCCATGTTAAAAACGCAGCACTCACTTTCCATAATTCGTCTCTATGTTGTTTTTGTGCGCCGTTTCTTTCTCTTTCCTTCTGGTGTTCAAGTGAGAGTTGTTGTGCAAGTATATCAGGTGATGTAAAATTAATTTTCTAATGAGATGCAATTTTTCGTTATTTGAAGCCCTACTTTGACTCTTGCCATTGGCCGCAATATAGCCCGGCCTTTAATCTGGTCTAATAGCTGAAAGCGGTTTCTGGGACATTTCCACGGGTGATACTCATCCACATGGTGGCACTTTGTGTCATCGGGTGTTTATCGCTTGTGTGATGTCCTGGTGGGTTAAAAGAAGATAGATAGAGATAGGTATATCAGGATTCATTCTCATGACGTGGCCAAGCCATTTTTATCTTCGTTTTGTTATACTGT